ATTACATAAAAGCATGGATACCAGGAGGCAGGAATCATTGGAAGCCATCTTAGAAGTTGCCTACCCTACACCTGAATTTTGTTTGGGAAATTTCTTACTAATTTGTTAGATTTTGATTTTAAGAATATTAAAAAAAACATATTTCATCTGCTTTTTTCCCCTGTTTTCAAAAGTCTAAAACACTTAATTCACCAATATTATATTCTGAACAATGTGTACCTTTTCCCCTCGAAAAGAGAGAAAGCGCAGACTTCTGCATGTCAAAAGACTATGTTCAAAATAACCAAAGTATGGAAAGAGCCCAGATGTCCATGGACAGATGAATGGATAAAGAAAATCTGGTGTGTGTGTGTGTGTGTGTGTATTTAAAATGGAATATTATTCAGCCATCAAAAAGAATGAAATCTTACTATTTGCAACAATGTGGATGGAACTAGAGGGTATTATGCTAAGCAAAATAGGTCAGTCAGAGATAGACAAATATCATATGATTTCACTTATATGTGGAGTTTAAGAAACAAAACAGATGAACATAGGGGAAGAGAAGGAAAAATAAAATAAGATAAAAATAGAGAGGGAGGCAAATCATAAGACTTAATTATAGGGAACAAACTGAGGGTTGCTGGAGGGGGTGGGGGGATAGGGCAGCTGGGTGACGGGCATTAAGGAGGGCACGTGATATAAAGAGCACTGGATGTTAAACACAACCGATGAATCACTAAACTCTATCTCTGAAACTAATAATACACTATATGTTAATTAATTGATTTTAAATTAAAAGAACTTAAGGAAGGTAAAAAAATAAAAAAAAGAGTCCTAGGCTTTACTGACTGAGCCAGCCAGATCCCCCTAACAATCCAGATTTCTACTTCTATCAAATAAATCAGAAGATATAGCAACATTCTTTTGGCATCCCTTGCATGGCAAGAATCTGCTAGAACTGAATAGAAGTTACCATTCATGTAAGGCCTATATGCTCCATGGTTCCCCTCTCCTCACCATTCCTCAAACTTGTCCCCAATACTGAGACATGCATTAATTCCCACTTGCCATAATGAACTTTTGTTTTCTTATAATAGAGAAATATACCTCTGTGCAAGACTCTCTCACAAATGGGGAAAGGAACTCAGAGCTGCCAACTCAGGGAAGTCTTTGAGGTACTCTGACATGACAAAGAAACTGTATGAAGTATGGAAGGGGGACCCCCAAGCCATTATGTACTGTTGTGAAATGCACCTCATTGCCTCTGTGAATGGTGCCCTGTAGGGTTGTGCAGTGAGCAATCTGCACAGCTGTTCAGTACATTCTGGAGACATGAGAAAGATACAGAGGTGGCACAGACCTGCGAGAACAGAGCAAGCAGGGGATGGCCCCAAATGGGGTGGGAACAAACTGAACGTTGCTGGGTAGGGAGGGGAGAGGGTGTATGGGGTAACTGGGTGATGAGCATTAAGGAGGGCACTTCATGGAATGAGCACTGGCTGTTATATGCAACTGATAAATCACTAAATCTTACCCCTGAAACTAATAGTACACTATATGTTAACTAAATTGAATTAAAAAAAAAAAAGACTATGTTCTTTTGGGCACTGGAAGGAACTCTTGGATTCAGATTTTACGATAGATTTTGGAGAGTGCAGATGAATTTAGAGCTTATTCTTTCCCTAAACCAAGTCTTGAATAAGGTAGAGGAAGAGGGATAGAATAGGAGTGAAGGAAGATGAACAGTACAGAGAGTGGGGGGGAGGGATGTCACTGTTTTTCTCTCCAGTCCTGGGTTTCATATAGGGGGAGGCAAGGGAAATGGGAAGAGGTAATGGAGGATAGAAGCTCTGGGTAGTCTGATGGCATGGTGCACTGGTGTTTCTTTATGTGAATGGAGCTCAGTGAGGCGGCAAGACCATAGAGTAGCGCACTGATTGACTGGTTTTCTATGGTAGATAGGTCTGAGGTAGTCTCACAGCATTGGTCCCCCTTCCCTCACACAGGTTCTCCCAGTGTGGGAAGAGAGTAATAGTAGAACCCTTGTATGATTGACATCACCATGGATGTGGTGGAGCAATAGCTATTCCCACTGGAACGTCTGGTAAATTAGAATGATGCTGGAGTGGCAGAATTATCCCATACACTAACGAATGAGCCTCACCCAAAGAGTTTTAAGAGTTTTATGAAAAACAAGAAGCAACTTAGCAGTTCTACATTGGCAAGGGACTGAAGACCAAGAAGGAATGATGATTATGTTGGTAATGTTAACATAATCAATGCTCTCTCAGATGCCTCACCACTGTTTAAGTCCTCTTGAACTTACAAATAATTCAGAGAAAAGAAGCAACTCTGAATACACTGAGTTTAAGTTTCTGTGACCAGGAGGAATGAGGTTCATAATAGGAATTAGGTTCATTTATTAAAAAAATAAAGTTATGCTTTTGCAAATGTGCCCAGTAGACTGATATACATATCCTTTGCCTGACTCCATTATGCTGAAACATCTCCTTATTGACTCTCCCCCGACTCCTAACCTACTTCTCTTCTGGCCTCTTCAGTTTAGTATTGCTAACCATCTCTTTGCCAGTTTTGAAATCACAGTATCATATTTCATACCTTCTTCTCATTATGTCCTATGGCCACTAAATTCTGTCAATCCAAAGCAGGAAAGAACGTCCAATGGAAAAAAGACAGCCTCTTCAACAAATGGTGTTGGGAAAATTGGACAGCCACATGCAGAAGAATGAAACTGGACCATTTCCTTACGCCACACACAAAATTAGACTCAAATGGATGAAATACCTAAATGTGAGACAGGAATCCATCAGAATCCTAGAAAACATAGGAAGCAACCTCTTCGACCTCAGCCGCAGCAATTTCTTCCTAGACACATCGCCAAAGGCAAGGGAAGCCAGGGCAAAAATGAACTATTGAGACTTCATCAAGATAAAAAGCTTTTGCACAGCAAAGGAAACAATCAACAAAACCAAAAGACAACCTACAGAATGGGAGAAGATATTTGCAAATGACATATCAGATAAAGGGCTTGTATCCAAAATCTATAAAGAAATCTATAAAGATTCTATAAATCTATAAAGAACTTATCAAGCTCAACACCCAAGGAACAAATAACACAATCAAGAAAGGGGCAGAAGGTATGGACAGAAATTTTTGCAAAGAAGACACCCAAATGGCCAACAGACACATGAAAAAGTGCTCAACATCACTTGGCATCAGGGAAATCCAAATCAAAACCTCAATGAGATACCACCTCACACCAGTCAGAATGGCTAAAAATAACAAGTCAGGAAACAGCAGATGTTGGCGGGGATGCGGAGAAAGGCGAACCCTCCTACACTGTTGGTGGGAATGCAAGCTGGTGCAACCACTCTGGAAAACAGTATGGAGGTTCCTCAAAAAGTTGAAAATAGAGCTACCTATGACCCAGCAATTGCACTACTGGGTATTCACCCCAAAGATACAAATGTAGTGATCCGAAGGGGCACCTACACCCCAATGTTTATAGCCACAATGTCTGCAATAGCCAAACTATGGAAAGAGCCTAGATGTCCATCAACAGATGAATGGATAAAAAAGATGTCAAACACACACACACACACACACACACACACACACACACACACACTGGACTATTATGCAGCCATCAAAAAACCAAAATTTTGCCATTTGCAATGATGTGGATGGAACTAGAGGGTATTATGCTAAGCGAAATAAGTCAATCAGAGAAAGACAATTATCGTATGATCTCACTGATATGAAAAATTTGAGAAACAAGACAGAGGATCATAGGGGAAGGGAGGGAAAAATGAAACAAGACAAAACCAGAGAGGGAGACAAACCATAAGAGACTCTTAACCTCAGGAAACAAATTGAGGGTTGCTGGCTGGGGGGTGGGAAGGATGGGGTGACTGGGTGATGGACACTGGGGAGGGTAGGTACTATGGTGAGCTCTGTGAATTGTGTAAGACTGATGAATCACTGACCTGTACCCCTGAAACAAATAATACATTATATGTTAATTAAAACAAATAAAAGTTTTCCTTCAATGTGTCAAAAAAAATAAATTCTGTCAATCCTACTTCTGAAATCCATCCCGAATCTCTTCTTTCTTTAGTCCTCACTACCAGTGTTCCAGTCCTAGATTATTGAAATATAATACAGTTGAATAAATATATTGGTTATATAAGATTGTATATCTCACAAATAGAAAATATACCTTATTTTCAAGACCACATGAAATTTTAGCAAATATCAATTTTATCTTAGATCACAAAGAATGATTCAATAAATTCCAAAAAGCTATAGAACAGATCACATTCTCTGGTCCCATGAAATTACAGTTAACATGGAGCTTACAATGGGGTCAGGCACTGCTTAAGAACTTCACATATACTAATATAATTCTCCTAACACCATGATGTAAGTACTACTGTTATCTCATTTTGTAGATAAGGAAACTGATGTAGAGAGAGACTCTAGAACTTACCGAAGGTCAGAGAGTACATTATGGGGCTGAGATACAGTATTATAGATGAAACAACAACATGGTAGTGGATATAAATGAAGTTAATGTAAAAGCACACACATGAAAAGAGTGTAAGCCTTCATAAAATTCATATTTACTTTAACCTTACCATTTAAACATATAATTATCATGAATTTCATTTATCCTTCATATTAATTATCCTTATATAGAAAAGAGAGTTTTAAATAGTTTCAGTTTCTTTTCCTGGAATCTGAAGAAGATGGAGTTGGACATTTCACCACTTCTTTTTTTTTTATTTAAGATTTTATTATTTATTTGTCAGAGAATGGGAGAGAGAGTGGGTGAGCACAAGCAGGGGAATCAGCAGGCAGAGGGAGAAGCAGGCTCCCCGTTGAGCAAGGAGCCCAATGTGGGACTTGATCCCAGGACCCTGAAATCATGAAGAACCCCCGGGATCATGACCTCAGCCAAAGGCAGCTGCTTAACTGACTGAGCCACCCAGGTGTCCCTACCACTTCTTTTTTTTCTGAAGTTTAGTTTTCCTCCCTTTGCAACAGATGGTCCAGTCAGCGCAGTATCTGATTGCATGTTCATCAGCATTGCACTTCATTCTGCAGTTATAGGCTTCTAAAGAGCACGTGTATTTAACAAATAAGGTCCTGGCTTTGAAAAGAGAAAAAAATTTATATTAGGTTATATTTTTGATTTTTATCTTTTAATGTCTAAATTGTTCTATAATAAATTAAAACAACATCAGTAGAGAACTTTCTCAGAAAAAAGTAACAGAAAAAAATACAGAAGAGAAAAGCAGAGATACTGAATAAAGATTAATGAAGATCTTTTCCATAGGGTAGGTAAATGGGGCAGTGAGCTGAAGAGGAGAGTTTTCTATGAGAACTGTTATGGCATATTTCTGTGTAAAATGAATAATTTGTTTAGGGGTAGGGATTCATGATGCAAGAAACAATGTTTGACTTCACGAGTGAAATCTTTAAAAAGTGAGTGGGGATAAAAATCTAGTTGAAAGTGGAGGGGTTAACCTTAAATCAGAATGGAGAGAGGGTAGAGAAAGATAAAATTAGGCGAAGGCATATGGGGGTGGGAAAATGAGGAAGTTATCTCTTGGTACTTTTACTTTCTTGGTGAAATAAAAAGAAATCATCAACTGAGAATAAGGGAACAGAGGAAGCTGAGTCTTGGTTCTAACTGCCCGGTACATTTGGGCTCAAAGCCTTGTCTCCTTCACTGAGGAAATTTCTAAGATTGCACAAACTCCCCTAAGTCGTAATTTCTCACTTTGGTTTCTCTCTCTCTCTCGGTGTCACATAGGCATTTCCTTCTATCCTTTGCTCCCAAAGGAATCTGTTTTTTTTTTTTTTTTAAAGATTTAGAGAGAGAAAAAGAGAGAGAGAGAGTGAACATAGGTGGGGAGAAGGGCAGAGGGAGAGAGAAACTCCAACAGATTCCCAGCCTGACCTGGGGTTCAATCTCATAACCCTGAGATCAGACCTGAGCAGAAACCAAGAGTCAGAAGCTTAAATGACTCGCCACCCAGGCACCCTGAAATCTAAGTTTTATAGTGATCATTTCTTACTTTAAAAAATAGTTTTATTACCTGGCTTTCATCCCTAGACACTATAGTTTAGTTTTCTTCTCATTACAATTTTTGATATTCCCTTTAAATCTACAGGTCCTTCCCAAATCCTTTCTTTACAATTTTTCTGTTGAGGAACTTGAGATGTTTAAGCTGTAGTGTTTCCCAGTTTATATATTTCTGATTGCATACTCTTAGAGAATTCCACATGTTCTTGTGTCCTCCATATTTCAGCAGACTGGCAACTGGATTGAGAGGCTTGATTAGACTCATGTTTGATTCCCAGAACCAGCTGTATGGTAGTTGGTGTTGTGTGTCTTATCATGATATGACTGACATGTAAAAGCTGTATATATTTAATTTTTTCAACTTGATACATTTGGGGGCAAGTATACACCTGTAAAACCATCACCACCATTAAGATCATAGATCTAACTATCACCTACCAAAATTTCCTTCCACCTCCATTATTATTATTATTGTTGTGGTTGTGGTAAGAATACTTAGTGTAAGATCTATCCCCTTAGCCAATTGTAAGTAAACAATACAGTATTTTTAGCTATAGGTACTATGTGTATAGTGGACCTTCAGAACTCATTTATCTTGTGTAACTGAAACTTTGTACCATTTGACCAATGACTCCCTCTTTTCTGTACCAGGCCCAGGTAACAACTATTCTACTCTCTGCTACGATGAGGTTGACTTTTGCAGATTCCATATGTAAGTGAGATCATGCAGTATTTGTATGTCTGCCTGGTCATGTCTTCTGCCCATTTCTTAACTGGATTATTTATTTTTTGGGTGTTGAGTTTGATAAGTTCTTTATAGATTTTGTATACTAACCTTTTATCAGATATGTCATTTGCAAATATCTTCTCAGATTCTGTAGGTTGTTTTAGTTTTGTTGATTGTTTCCTTCGCTGTGCAGAAGCTTTTTATTTTGATGAAGTCCCAATAGTTCATTTTTGCTTTTTTTCCCTTGCCTCTGGATACATGTCTAGTATGAAGTTGCTATAGCTGAGGTCAAAGAGGTTTCTGCCTGTGTTCTCCTCTAGGATTTTGATGGTTTCCTGTCTGACATTTAGGTCTTTCATCTATTTTGAATTTATTTTTGTGAATGGTATAAAAAAGTGGTCCAGTTTCATTCTTCTGCATGTGGCTATCCAATTTTCCCAACACCATTTGTTAAAGAGACTGTCTTTTTTTCCATTGGATATTCTTTCCTGCTTTGTCAAAGAATAGTTGACCATATAGTTGTGGGTCCATTTCCGGGTTTTCTATTCTATTCCATTGATCTATGTGCCAGTACCATACTGTCTTGATGACTATAGCTTTGTAATATAGCTTGAAGTCCAGAATTGTGATGCCTCCAGCTTTGCTATGCTTTTTCAAGATTATTTTGGCTATTCAGGGTCTTTTGTGATTCCATACAAATTTAGGATTGTTTGTTCTAGCTCTGTGAAAAATGCCTGTAGTATTTTGATAGGGATTGCATTTAACGTGTAGATTGCTTTGGGTAGCATAGATATTTTAACAATATTTGATCTTCCAATCCATGAGCATGAAATGTTTTTCTATTTCTTTGTGTCATCATCAATTTCTTTAGTGTTCTATAGTTTTTAGAGTACAGATCTTTTGTGTCTTTGGTTAGGTTTATTCCTAGGTTTCTTATGATGTGTGGTGTAATTGTAAATGGGATCAATTCTTTGATTTCCCTTTCTGCTGCTTCATTATTGGTGCATAGAAATGCAACAGATTTCTGTACATTGATTTTATATCCTGAGACTTTGCTAAATTCATTTATCAGTTTTAGCAATTTTTTGGTGGAGTCATTTGGGTTTTCTTTTCTTAAAAGATTTTTTTAAATCTATCTATCATCTATCTATCTAACATCTATCTATCATCACCATCATCTATCTATTTAGAGAGAGCCAGGGAAGGGGCTGAAGGAGAGGGAGACAGAGAATCTCAAACAGACTGCGCTGAGCGTACAGCCTGATATGGGGCTTGATCTCACAACCCCGAGATCATGACCTGAGCTGAAAAAAGAACTGGCCGTTTAACTGACTGAGCCACCCAGACAACCCTAGTCAGGTTTTCTACATAGAGTATTATGCCATCTGTGAATAGTGGAAGTTTGACTTCTTCCTTGCTGATTTGCATGCATTTTATTTCTTTTTGTTGTCTGATTGCTGAGGCTAGGGCTTCCAGTACTATGTTAAAAAACATTGGTGAGAGTGAACATCCCTGTTTTGTACCTGACCATAGAGAAAAAACTCAGTTTTACTCATTGAGAATGATATTAGCTGTGGGTCTTTCATATGTGGACTTTCTGATGTTGAGGTATGTTCCCTCAATCCCTAAAAAACCCTTTGTGGAGGGTTTTTATCAAGAATGGATGCTTTGTAATATATTTTGGAATCAGGAAGAGTGATACCTCCAGCTTTGTTCTGGCTCAAAATTGCTTCAGCTATTCAGAGACTTTAGTGGTTCCATATAAATTTTAGGATTGATTTTCTTCTTTCCTTTCTTCCTTCCTTCTTTTCATTCTTAAATTTTTGTCTATTCTCAAATTTTTAATCTTTGTTTTAAATATTTCCTTAAACAATGTTTTAGTGTTGTTTTTTTCTATTTATATAAAAAATGACATTGGGATTTTCATAAAGATTTTATTGAATCTGTAGATTGTTTTGGGTGGTATGCATATTTTAACAATATTCTTTCCACCCATGAACATGGGATATCCTTCCAATTATTTGTGCCTTCTTTAATTTCTTTCATTAATATTTTGTAGTTTTCAGTGTACAAATCTTTCATCTCCTAGGTTAATTTGTATTCCTAAGTATTTTTTCTTTTGATATTATTGTAAATGGGATTGGTTTCAAAGTTTCTTTTTTGAATACTTTGTTGTTAGTGTGTAGAAATGCAACTGGTTTTTGTATGCTGATTTTGTGCTCTGTAGCTTATTGAATTCTTTTATTACTTCTAACAGTTTTTGGTGGTGTCTTAGGGTTTTCTACATACAAAATCAATGCATTTGTGCATTCAGATAAATCTTTTTTTTTAATTTGGATAACTTTTATTTTTTTACTTGCCTAAGTACTAGTTGAATGTTGAATAGAAATGGCAGAGGTGGGCATCCTTGCCCTGTTCCTAATCTTACAGGAAAAACTTTCAGTTTTTTACTGTTGAATATAAGTGAAGAATTTCTTTTGTTTTTGTTGTTTTGTTTTTTAAGTAGGCTTCATGTCCAGTGTAGAGCCCAACTGGGTCTTGACCATGAGATCAAGACGTGAGCTGAGATCATAAGTGAGGCACTCAACCAACTGAGCCACCCAGGCACCCCTGAAGAATTTAACATTTCTTGTAAGGCATTTCTACTAGTGACACATTCCCTCAAACTTGCCTTAGAAATTTTTTATTTCATAAGTCAGACAGAGAAAGGCAAATACTATATCTTATCATTTATATGTGGAATTTAAATAAAGCTGATCTTATAGAAGCAGAGTAAAGTAGTGATTACTAGGGGCTGAGGGAATAGGGGAAATGGGGAAATAAACTTCCAGTTATAAGATGAGCAAGTTCTAGTGATCTAATGTACAGCATGGTAATTCTAGTTCATAATACTGGATTGTATACTTGAAAGTTGCTAAAAGAGCAAATCTTAAATGTTTTCAGTACCAAAAAAAGAGGTAATTACATGCTGTAATGGAGGTATTAATTAACATTATGGTGGTAACCATTTTGTAATGCATAAGCATATCAAATCAACATATAGTTTACCTTAAACATACAAAATGTTATATGTCAATTATATCTCAATAAAGCCAGAAAAAATAAAATAAAATTTATGCTTAGAGAAGATAGAACAAAAACAAAGCCAAAACAGTTCCCAACTATGTTTCATAATAAGTTGTTCTCAGAGATGTGATTGTTTTGTGTAAAAAAATACAAAACAAAAAACCGTTTGCAATGAAATAAAATTGAAATCTTTGTAAGAAAAAAAGGAAATTATTTCTCCTTCAGTTTTAAGGTATAATTTTTCTGGAAAGAAAAATTCTAGGTGGGT